GGAGACAGGAGAGGAGGAGAGGAGACAGGAGAGGAGGAGGGGAGACAGGAGAGGAGGAGGGGAGACAGGAGGGGAGACAGGAGAGGCTGCCTTCTGGGATGTTCTGGGATCGTGGACTTCTGGGTGCTCCTTGATGTCACGTTCTGGTGGCCAGCAGGGCTGGGGAAGGGGAGAAGCTGCTGTGACCTCCCTGCTCACACTCCAGCCCTGGGGACCCGCTGGGCCTTGGGGGAACCCAGGGTTCTGGACACAGTGAGGAAAGGAGGTGGCCTCAGCCATGCATTCTCCACCAGCTCCCAGAAACCCACCTGCCCCTGCCTGTGTCTCGGTTTCCCCTTCTTGAAATGGACACCATTGGGGTGACATTAAAGCCCCCAAGGTCCAAACCTCAGGATAGGGGGGTGCTGGTGGAGTTGTCCAGGAGCATCTCCCCCMAAATCCAGGGTGAGGAGGGGTTGCCTGGCTGCCATGCCCCAAGTTTGGCTTGTCCACCTGGCGCCCCTGCATGCACCAGGTCTGAAGGGAGCTACAGCCCTGGGCGGGAGGGGGGTGGGTTTCAGGATGGTGCTTGTGTTTCTCYACCTGGACTGACCAGGCAGCCAGCCCCTCCAGGATGATGTCCTCCTTGAGGAGACTCTGCCTGTCCCCTAATCTCCCAGTTTCTCCCCCTCTCTGGGCTTAGGGCGAAGCCCTTGCCTGCCCTCTGGCATTGTGGGTGGTGGCTCATAATTTGAGCGGATCTCACACCCACCCTGGGAGCAGCCCTCCCCTCCTCGCCTGGTGTGGCCTGGCAGGCCTGGGCCAGGGGCTGGGAGTCACTGTTGGGGCAGCACCCAGGACCCCAGTGGGCATGGACTCCTCTGGAGTAACTGACGGACACTCTGTGAGGTCAGGGATAACCAGCTCCCATCAGCCAGAGGGCTGGGCAATTTCCCACACCTGCCAAGGGCCTCGAATGCTCCGTTTGATGTGGTAAGAGCCTGGCCTTGGGTGGGCTCCCTCCTGGCTCTGCGGTGAACTGGGGAGTGTCAGTACTGCTCCACCACTGCCTCCCAGCTGGGGGTGGAATCGGGCCCTGGCCCTGCAGCCTCCCAGGTCCGGCTGGCCTGGTTCCCCTAGGGCCTGCTCACTGCACCTGGGCCGGGGGGCTCTGACACCTGGATTCTTGATGGTGCCCAGGAAGCTAGACTGGGGCTGAGCCAGGCCTGGGGCAGGGGTGGCCCAAGTGTCCTCATACCCTTGGTGAGAAACCAGGCAGAGCATGAGACGGAGGCCCTGCGGGAGGGTGAGAGGGCCTGGACCCTGGGAAGCTCCACTCTGCAGGTCAGGTTCCTGGCTGGCTCCAGGGCTGGGGGCCTGCCAGTCCCTGGGTGTCCAGCCAGCTTCTGGCCTGGCCCACCGATCCTTCCCTGCAGTCGGTGCCTGTCACAGGCAGACACTTGGGCTCTTGCTGTCTCCCAGGTGTGGCAGTTACTGGGCTACTGTCTAGGGTCCCTCCTGGGAAGAGCTCCTGGCCTGGCCTCGGCTGGCCCATCACAGTGGGTGGAGGGGCCTCAGACCCTACACAGGGACCTTGCTCTGGGCTTGGAGAGTCCATGTCAAGGATGAAGATGGTCCCCAGGGGCCAGGGCCTGCCTGTCCCGAGCTGGGCTCCAGGCTCCAGGAGCTGTTCTGCAGGGCTGAGGTGGTGAACCTGTGCCTCTGCCTTCCCTGATTCTCTGGGTGGGTTCCTGGGCAGGTGTGTTGAGGCCTGGGAAAGGGGGTCCCGAGGGCCTGTGGCACCCCAGACTCAGAGCTGCTCTTTCCAGCCTGCCTGTGTCTGTTTCCTGATTCTGCAAGGCGGGTGGAGATGAGGCTCTCCTAGAACAGAGCTGTTCCCGTGGTGGGTAGGCTTCCGCAGACCCTGCTCTCGGAAGCTGGGGGATGGTGACCTGCTCTGGGGCTGCTGTCCTGTGTTGATGACCATTCAGACGTGGTTGGCTATGGCTGTAGCTCCACCAGTGCTGAGCGCAGTGTCAGCAAGCAGATCCACCCTGGCTTCCGCCTGAGCTGCTCAGGAGGCCTCGGTGTCTCTGTTGGGGGTCCCTAAGGACAGGCCGGTTCTCGCCACCCCGCAGAGTTGGCTGGAGGCAGGGTCATGGACCAGGTGGCCAGGGGCCCAGGTGGGAGGCTGCTTGGTGTCTCAGCCAGGGATCTGGCCTCAGACCCCACACTGGCCTCCCACGCCCACGGCTGCCCCTTGCCTGGCCCCGGTCCCCCGAGAGTCTGCTGCCCCAGCTCTGCGTGTTTGGGATGGCTGTGGCTCCGAGTCACCATGTGGCGGAGGGGGCCCTGCTGAGAGCCAAGAGCCTGCTGTTTTCTCTGTCCCCCTGCCAGCCTCCCTCCCCTGAAATCGCGGCTCTGGAGAGCAAGTGCGAAGGAGGCTGGGGACGGCCGCTGCCTGTGTGAGGGCAGGCCCTGGGAAACCGAGACGACTCCAGGGGGTCAGCTCACACGTAGGGCCGTGTGCACGAGTTGGTGGCGGGGCCCAGAAACTGCTCCGCGTGATGGATTGACTCTGTAAACCCCGAGTGCTGGCACGGCAGCCTGGGTGTCTGGGTCCCCGCCCGGGACCCTCTCCAGGYCCTGTGTCATGTTCTAGGAGACCATCCTGGAGCCAGAGTGAGTTCACTTGGCTGGACTGGGTGACCTGAGTGGGCGCATCTCCCAGCTAGGTGGACGCCAGCTGTGGCTTCCGCTTCCTGGGCAGGGTGTGGACTCTGGCTGGSCCCTGAGGGGACAGGCAGGCTCTGGGGAGGAACGTAGGCTCTCTGTGAAGGTCCTTTCCGGGCTGCCCCAGGGCCAGAGTGGCTTTGGCTTCCTGTTTAAGTCCCTCTAGAAAGACCACCCCGGGGTAGCTGAGTTTGAGGCTCCACATCGGTCCTCACTCTGTGGCCTTGGGTGAATAACTCCACTACTCTGAACCTCAGTCTCCATCTGTAAAGTAGGACAAGCGATGCGGTCACCTCTTGGTGCTCCAGAGGATTTGGAGGAACTTTCCCGAGGCCTGTAGCCCTGCGCCTGCTGGTGGCAATACTCCCTGGAGTGGGCAGTGGGTGGACAGAAGAGCTGCCCCTCCTGAGCCAGGCCCCCCACCAGCCTTGGCATTCCCTTGGCTGAGACTCTTGGGAGCAGGATCCTCCAGGGACCTGGATCCCACACAGGGGTGGTCAGCACCTTTCCTGGGACCCCAGCAGGTCTCTGGGCAAGCCCCAGGCCCTCGGGCTCCCTCGGGTCACTCCCTCTCCCCTCTGCCTCTGGTCTGTAGTCCTGTCTGTCTGAGAAATCCGCATTTCCAGGTGGGAGAAACCAGGGTCGGCCCTTGGAGGGAACAGGAGTCTCAGGGGCCCTTGGTCTCCACGGCTGGGTGGGCTTCCCCCGTCCAGGCCGGCAGGCCAGCCTTCCCACGCTGGGTGGGATTCTGCCCTGAGACTGCCCTGCTGTTCCAGCCCCAGCTGACCTTGCTCCTGCCGGGAGATAAGGAGGCCTGGGAGGGGACAGCCAGTGGCTGCGGTGTGGGGGCTGGGCAGGGGCTTTCTCACGGGAAATTGCCAGCTCTTCTGGGGGAGTCCAGGTCTGCTGACCCCTGCCCCTCTACAGCTCAGTGCAAGGGCTTCCTGGGTAAAGTTGTGGTCCTCACTGGAGTGAAGAGCCCAGAGGGCACTGTGACGTCCTCCTCGAGGGGACTTGGCCTCGCAGTGTTC